TTCATTGGCCTGTACACTAAAATTTGTACATTTTTTAGGTACCTCAATTAAATAAATAAATAAATAAATATAAATAATAATAAATAAAATAAAAACAGTCCAGTTTACCTTACCTAATAATGATAATATTCCTTAGTCACTAGCAATGAAACAAAGAAAGGCAACAGGGCAGTCATTCTCACTAGGTTTTAGTATGATTAGCTATGATTATAAAGATAAACTATATAATGCTGGTAAAATAGAGGTCACGTGGTAAACACTCAACTTATGCAATTATTATCATTATTTGCCTTACTTTGCCACACACAATTTTCTTTTTTCAATCATACTTGTTTCCAACATACTAGTTTCAAATATACTAGTTTCCTTCATGGTCTCATTTCTCTTAAAATTTCCTGTAAATTGTACCTTTCCTGGTATAGAGAGAACATACCTCAACATACTAAAGGCAATATATGACGAACCCACAGCTAACATCATACTCAATGGTGAAAAGCTGAAAGCTTTTCCTCCAAGATCAGGAACAAGACAAGGATGCTCACTCCCACCACTTTTACTCAACATAGTACTGGAAGTCTTAGCTGTGGCAGTCAGACAAGATAAAGAGATAAAAGGCATTCAACTTGGTAAGGAAGAAGTGAAAATGTCACTATTTGTAGATGACATGATCCTACATGCAGAAAAACCTAAAGACTCCTCCAAAAAAACTATTAGAACTAATAATTGGATTCAGCAAAATTGCAGGATATGAAGTGAATACACAAAAATCTGTTGCATTTCTATATACAAATGATGAAACAGCAGAAAGAAAATTCAGAATTCCATTTACAACTGCAACAAAAAGAATAAAATACCTAGCTATTTAGAAAAGTTTACAGTGACCTATATCTTACTTTCAGACACAGCACAAATTTGCTTCTCAAGTGATAGGACAGTATCTACAGATACATCTATCTGTGGAAATATTAATTCTCTATCATCTCTACTACTCTTTCGAATGCAAATATGTCTTGTATTCCTGAGTAATCTTATTTTAAAAACAGCATGGAAGTATGAACTTACATATAGGTTTAAATTCAGACAATGGTTCTCAAACTTGACTACATATTGCAATCACCTGGCTAGAGTTTAAATATTTGGGTATTGCTCAGATAGCAGCATTTTTTAAAGTTGCCCAGGTGATTTCAACATAGTCAAGTTGGAAAATTATTGATTTAGAGTAGCAGTTCTTAAACTTGACGACATACTCTCATCATCTAGGGAGTTTTTGAAAATCCCCAGTTGTAGGCTATACAGCAGAACAACTTAACAGAAATTCTCAGAGTGAGACACAGGTATCATTATTTCCCAGATGTCTTCAGCTGATTCTACTGCTTGGGCTGCTTTGAGAACTGCTTTCAAAATTGCCCGCACAGCCACCACCCATGTCAAAGTGGAAGATCTGAGTGATCAGATATTGGCACATATCATCTGTTCTGGTCCTTTTTGCTCAAACTTGATAGTAATCAGATTTCATTGTGCCTAAGAATTACCTATTAGCGTCTATTAGCATAGCGTGCCCAATTCATATTTCATTCATCACACTTTGTTTTAATGAATGACAATATAACTTTAAGGCACTAGGAACAACAGCCTATTTTCACAATAAACAACATTTTAGACCTTCACCTCCTGAAAAAGTCTGAATTCACTAATCTGAAATGATAATAAACTTAGAATGATGAAGAGCTAAGTGATAAACATTGGGCAATTATGTGGATATTTAAACTCACTGAAATATATTAATTCTAACACCAATTTATATGACTAAGCCTTTCTCTTTAAAATCAAGTGGGTGATTTAATACTGCAACAAAATTTTAATACTGTAATTATCTTTTTCATGTCTGTCCTCTAAAATCTGACATGAGAAAGGGAATATTAGGGACTGACTACACCTATCTCAGATGTAATTCATGTCAAGCACAACATAGGTATTTCACAAATGGTTACTCTCTCTCTGAAAAATATAAACTAACGTTAAGTTGCTCTGCTGTGCAAATAATTGGAAAGCAGTGATAATGGTTTGGAATAAATGCATGAGAGCATGAATGGAAGGAACTTCATGAACTCCATTTGATGAGGTAGGATGCAAAGCCATCTACTGAGAAAAAAGGGAGAAGATGAACTGGGGTTATTGCTGACAGCAGTAAACATAGATCAGACAGTGAGAGAAATGCCTGGAAAATCAAAGTAAATACGATACAACTTTTTAATATTGGCTGTACAGATTTATTGCATTTGGTCCTAGAAAAAACTTTCCTTAAATTAGATAATCAGATGAGGTCTGACCCTCACTAACATCATTGTAATTGTTGCTGAACACGATGGATTCCCTTCCAGATGAGCTTTAGATGAATGAAGTCACACCAAGTCCAATTTAGGTAGAAACAAGCACGAGGAGGAAGACCACTAGGCATGGTTCCTGAAGCATTGTGTCCCTGGAGGGCAGCCAAAAAATCTTAGTGGGTTTTCTGCCTTCTAAGATTTTTCAGGAACTGAGGTAAAGAGATTCACACCCCTTCCAGAGTGAAGAAAAATCCTAGCTGGTTTATTAGCTGTTCAGGGCTCCCCATGGATTGCATATTATGGTAATCAGCCTGCAGCTCCTCCCTGGGTGGAGATTTTAGCATTTAAATGAGGAGAGATTACTTTGGGACACTCAGGTCTGGGTAGAAACTGGTTCTCTTGGAGTTTAGCTTGTTTACAGCTGTTACCCTTGGAGGAAGAGAAACTGCAGGACTGGAAGTTAACAGACAGATAGCAAAGCAGGCTGTTTTAGTCTCAAGAGAATTTCTTTGTTTTTCCCCCTTTGCATGCCTGTATTTCCCTCCTTATTTATTTCTTAACTGTTTGAAATCATTGTTCTCAGTCTGGGGTAACAGAATGTTGTTCATATCTTACACCATTTTCTCCCTGTGATGTGAATTTTGGGGAAGCAACACATTCCAAAGTTGAGAATACAGACAATGGAGACCCTTTGCTTTAACTCCAGTCACTTAACATTTCTCATGGATCAGTTCTCAAGTGGGTATCCGATTGCGGTTTTCATATGTAAGTAGGGAGAAACAATATATATACACCACATGGTAAGTGCTCGATGAACAGCAGCTTTTATTTCTAGTAGTGATACATGAAGGGACTGATAAAGTGAATTTAGGTGACCTATTCCAGACCACACAGCGAATAGCAGGCTTGGCAACCTGCAATGTCCGCCAAACTCTAGTCTTTTTCTAGTCCAAGAAACCACCTCGATTTCATGAACCAGAATTGATGAATTTCTATCAAGAAACAGTTGACCTTGAACAACATGGGTTTGAAGTGCACAGGACAAAATGCATTTTCTTTGATAAAAGTACAGTATGTGTTATTGTATGTAAAGCAGCAGATTTCACCAGGGATGTGGTTGGTAGAAAAGGAAACATATTGTGCGAGAATGACCTTTTTGTTACTTGCATACGCTCTCTGTCACCAACTGAGCAAACCAGCCGGAGTACGTACTACAGACAAACATGGGATCTGAGAGGCACAGAGGAGCAAGGCCTGGGATGGGCAACTCAGAGGAGGGCGGCAGGAAACCTTTGCCCTTCAAAGTGTACCTCTCCCAGCCCACGTCTGATCCACCTGCAGGAAGGTATCAACTTTGGCAGGAACCAAGAGAACAGTTAATACACCCGCTGCTTGCTATCTTTACGATCATTTCCTCAACCTGCCATTTGTTTCCTACTTTTCTACTCTTTGCTGCATCTAAAAAGAACTGACCTGTTTTAAATACAGTTATGTTGTTGGGGAAGCAAGTTATATTTAGAGTTTGACTGTGTAGCAATCAGAAATCCTAACCTCTGAGTTGCTCAAGGGTGACCTGCACTCAGGAAGCATTTGTATTGATGGGAAGACAACAGTAAATGTACAGTCAGTGTGAGAAAGGTACAATTAAACCACAAACCAATACAATACTGTATGATGCAGATAGGGGGACAGACAGTAGAGAAGAGTATTTCAACATTTTCTTCTCTCCATGCACACTTTCATCATGACCTGGGCTATGACATTAAAGTAAAATAACTAAAGAAATCATGAATGATCGCCAAGCTTGTAATACCTACAAACACACACAGTCTATCCTTTCTTGCCTCCCGGCAGAGCTCTAAGGACAGTGGAAAAATTGATGAGGCTTAAAGTCAGCTTGAGTAATCTGAAGAATTTGGGGGCATTAGCCTTCACATTCTGAGATTCCTAATTTTGGATTTACGGCCAACACCTTTTGTAGCAAGACCCATTTCAAGTAAGAGTCGTCTCAACCACCTATTCTAATATTTGGCAAGGGACCTGATGTCGCAGGCAATGTGCTAAGTGCTGAGAAGATAGCAGTGCTCCCTTCTCTACTCCTGACACTCCTATGATTGGCTGAGTAGACTGCAGTTGAGTCCAGGAGGTGGTCCCTTTACTGATTTCTTGACACTCCTATGACTGGTGAGAAGAACCAGCTCTTCTGGCTTGACAAACACAAAGGCCCCAAGGCTCCTCAGGGTCAGGGGAGATCTTTTCTGTCAAATCCTTTCCTTTCCCCCTGAGGGTAAATGGGTGTGGATGATGGACTAAATCAAGGGGAAGGAGAAAGCTGCAGAGGCCATGGTAAGACGACCATGTGCCCCATGATGCCCGGACCCTGAGTTCCCACATAGGGACCATGAGCTCCAACCCCACACCCAACGCAATGGGCCAACTCTAGCCAACTCCCAGAACTGGGGGCCTAAGAAGGGGGCCAACCAAGTGCCTGGAATGTCAAGAAAACACAGGACTACATTTTGCCACGAGCAGTATTTTTATATCGGATGCCAGGAGGAGGGGATTGCATCAGAGAAGAAAAGGTTAACCCGGTAACATGGTTGGTCCCCTGACGAGAAGGGCCCTCTCAGCCCCGGGGCTCTCAGGAGGACAGCCAGGCCCTAGGCTCAGGCCTCACCGAGGGCGGCCAGTGCAAAAGAAAGGCCTGACCGGGAAGTGGAAGAAATCTCCGGGGTACTTCCAAATGAAGGAGCGCTTGCCCACGTCCACAAAACTCAGAGAGCCGCTGTCGAAATCCAGGAACACGCCGACGCTGCCCAGGGGTCTCTCTGTGTACTGAGGCCGCATCGGGCCCGTGGTCCAGAGCCTGGGCCCGTCCTCCTCCCTCACACATAGCAGGAGAAAGGTGTCCTTGGCGTCGGTCAGCGGGCCTGCGGCTCTGGCCTGCGTCTCCCCACACACGCCCACAGCCCAGTCCCCAGAGTCGTCCACCTCCACCTCCCAGTAATGTTTGCCAGAGGCCAAGCACTGGGTCCCCCATCTGGCAATGTAGTTAGACGTTGCAGGAGCCAGACACACAGAGACGGAGTCCCGGAGAAACTTCACACTTCTCACTTCCTCCAACAGCCTGATGTGGTGATTGGTTATTGCGTTATCAAAGGAAATTTCCACTGTGGAGAGAAGAGAAGATTCCTCTCAAAGCAACGTTAAAAATTACATTGTCTGTGGCAGAAGAGGCCCTGTCGACAGTGTACCTAAGAGGATGGGGTGATGGGGGACCAGTCCAAGGTGAGAAGGGCAGGTGTGACTGGGAAAGGTTGGGCTTGGGTGGTACCTGCATTATCTGCTCAACGACCAAAGGCCTCATTACAGTGGAAAAGACTTCCTCAACGTGCAGAGACTGTAGAGGACAGGGAGGCCTGTCTACTGGTTGATTACATTGCAGGACATCTGAAAACCAGACATTGTCTTCAAGTCCATTGCAAAAAACTTACCTCCACCACCCCTTCTTAGAGAAAGAGTCACATCTGAGACTGAATAAAGGGGATCACTTTACTGGGATATTATACCACAGTGCAGTGAAGGGAGCAATTGGCACAGGGGAAGAATATCTAAAGACATTCTCATAAGCGGTTTCCTACTAAGAATTTTTTACCCTTCATGTCTGGTTAAACCTGAGGCCTAGTCTTTCTCTATCTACACAATTGACCTTCCAGGTGTAGGTCAGTCCTGGAGCTCTTTGTGGACCCCCTCAAGACCCAGTTTGCTTTATCCTCATCCACAGAGGATTGCTTCCTGCACTGAGTTTATCTCAGATGTATTTTTTCTTATTATATAATAATGGAGACTCACAGTGTACATTTCACTGCAAGAAAATGTTAAAGCCAAAGTATTTAGAAAATCTAACTGGCTGTGATTAGTGGGAATTTAATATAACTTGAATTAATATCCAGTTTTCTAGCACTCAGTGAATCAACAACTGACATTGTAGATGATGATGTCCCCAGGGCTCAAGGGGAACCTTCTAGGAGCATGCCCTTTGTCTCATCCTATGCATTATTCTTCAATACACCAGGGAATTGATAAGGCCTGAATCCCATCTATCCTGACACCAGCTTCCCCTTTTCCAAGGACAGTGGGAACATGTGACTTACTCAAGGTGACCACATATGCCTATTGGCAGGCTATTCTTCTGGACAAAATGAAAGATTAGGAAAGAGGGCAAAAGGCTGCATACGGAATACCGGTGTCTAAAGACCTGGCGCGATGGCCCATCCATGGGGCAAACTCACCTCGGAAGTGGTTAAGCCTGTCCATCAGTCCAGTGACGGGGCGTGCTCTGAGTTCTGGTCTCAGACGCCGAGGTATGTGCCCCTGTATTGCTTGCTCACTCCTGCAAGGAAGAAGATGAAAGTCATCACTCTGGTGCCCAGGACTTCTTGCACACAGGGCTCAGGAAGACTCATGCTCTTTCCACTATACATTCTTCCACAAAATCCATTCCCCACAACTTGGGGAAGAGGACTGAACCATTCTTAGGGCATCTCCTGCTTTCTCCTGCGCCTCTGCCCACCCCCGACTCTCACAGGTACTTGCCTCTTTCTCTCACCTGACCCTGGGGAACCTAGTCCCTGAAACTTTCTGTGTTCCTAATTTTGAAATCTAAAAATCAAATACAGTGGGTTCTTCCAGAAACTTCTGTGTTGAGTTGACATCACATACCTTCCTCATATACAAGTGGGTGGGGGAGGCTAACCTGTGATTCAGGGGAACAGGAAACCATTCAGCAGAACCTACACCAACATATGCACACATAGCCACTGAGTGACACCTAAGATGTCTGTCTTCACTCTGATAGAAGGGCCCGGCGGATAGCACCAAAAACCAAACTTACCATTTCAACATGTCCCGCAGTTCCTGTCGAGAAAAAAAGAGTCGGTCAGACTTCTGCAGAAATGAGGCACTCTGCCCACCAGGATGGGCTCCGGGAGAGTTCAGACAAGTCCTAATCACCACCAGCAGCCCAACTATGCTGCAAGTTCATTTTCCTTTCCCTCCCTGAAGATAATCAGGGGGAAACATATTCATGGATTCTAAGTTATTGAGGACTTAAGAACCCAGATGGTGGGAGAAGGAGAGAGGACAAGACGAGGGCAGTGACTGCATGGCTGCCCCCTCAGCTGCCTGCAAAGTACTCATTGCCTGGGGCTTGTCTGCAGGGGGAAAAATATGCCCCAAAGGAGGGCAGTCCAAAGCTGGGACATCCCAACTCAAGGAGGAAATGGATGCGTTTTCCCCCACATGTCTTCTCATCCCCCAGTTGGAGACCAAAATCAGATGTCTCGGAAGAAGTCATTCCTTTCTGGTTTTTACAAAAGCAAACTACAAAGGGCGACTTCTGAGAAGGGACCATTCCCCAGGGAATCTGTACATTTTTTTCCCACTGGGAGAGCCCTCCACCACAGATGCAGGAGATGGAGAAATACATCTTGGGGAGCAAATAGTACAAGGCAAGGGAGTGGGCTGCAGATGGCAGAAAGCATTCTGGGGCAGGAGCTCAGGTCTTACCAGGAGCAGCTCCACATCTGGTTTCTGGCACATCTTTCTCAGCTCCCTGTACACCATCCTTAGGTGCCTCTTCCTGTCAAGATTTTGGCATCGAATTTTCTCCAGTTGTGCAAATCCCTTTTGGCCTTCCTCTTTCAGAAGCTCCAAGTGTTGGTGTTCTTCCTCCAGGAGAATCGGGTGCAGTGGCCGGTAAGCAGCCCTGGTCATGTCTTTGTGATGAGTCACATACATCTGGGGGGCACAGGATTCCTAGGTCACATTCAGGCCGACAGGCCTCCTACGCAGCATGCAGTTTGCTTTATCTGCCTTCTCTCCCAGGAAGCTCCTTGCATCCTCAACTCATGCCACCCACTTCTCAGAATCCAGATCCATTCTCCTCCCTTTCATCCATATTCCGTTCTTTTTTAAAAACTGTGCCTAGAGCCAGACCCAGCGTTCCCTCAAGCCACTTCCATCCACCTCGCAAGCTCCTGAAATGCCCAGAGAAGAGCTTTGCATGGCCTATACTCATCAATCACCCAGTGAGCAAAGTAGTCTAGCCTCCCACCTCCCCGCTCCTCAGCCTGACCTTGGCCCCTACAGCAGCCCTGTTGCATTCCTCTCAGGGTTAGAAGCCATCAGAGGAGATGGTCCTAAAATCCTCACCACCCACAGCTCAAACTGATGTCCATCCTCGTGGCCCTTCACTCGGCCACCCTCTCTCGGGGACTGGGCTTTCGCCCTCCATCTGGGGCCAGAGGATCCCAGAAGGCCTGGAAGGACACGAGTGCTCATCCCATCGCCTGTTCCCTCCCGGCACTGCTGGGCTCAGCCACAGCCACGCGCTCTCCATCTGTCTTCTGTCTCTCTCTTTGTTCCTGCTCCTCTTTTTAATTTTTTTTCAATGTGGTCCATTTTCTCCTGCTTGTCCCTGTATCATCCTCTAACTCCTTGCTCCATTAGTTTCCACCATGCCAGGCACACTTCTGAGATGGCTGATCCTGTTTCCTCTTCCTTCTCCTGGACTTCTGCACTAATTAGGCATCGCTGCTTGCACTCGGCAGTGATAGCCTCTTTAATGCCCACAGTTCAATTTCTGGGCATCCCCTAATCTGTCTGAAATGCCCACACTGGTTAGCCCCTGCTTGTCTTTCATCAGGACTTAGATCGACTGAAACTTGAGAAAGTTCACTGGCCCCAAGTCCTGGATAATGGTTACTGAGTTGGCCAGACCGCTGTAGGGGCCTCCATGCCAGCACCTGCTGCATGTTCTCCTGGGAGTCCTTCCTGCAATGACTGACCTATGAGACTCTACAGATCCTAACAGGCATGCTATGGCAGGTATACAAGGCAGATGGATTATTTTTCCTGTTGTTCCACCTACTGACTGAGTGTCAGGACACATGACTTAGGCACAATTTGTCAATGGGTCTGAGCCTCTAGCATGTCTGTCTAAATCTGGTGCAGAGAGAAATACCGTCTCCTACTTACCATCCAGTAGATGGAGATCCTGCCATCTTTAGCGAGGTTTCTTTCAATGTCTTCAATTTTTTGCCACACAGATCTCATCTGCTTGGAGAGCTTCTCCTGAAGAAGAAGAGTGTTTAGCCGCAGACAAGGAAAGAGATTTCTGTTTCAGACCCCAAGTGCTGCGATGGAATCAAGGGATGTCAGATGAAAGAACAAGGGTCACTGATTGGCTCTCACTAATGGTCTATTTAGGACATTCGTGACTAGGGACACATAGTCTTGTAGTTACTGGCCTGGGAAACTGACAGAGTTTAACGGCCTGCCGACTGTTCACACAGCCTGGCATCTTGCCCCACACGTTGGGTCTGGTGATGCCCGCCCTTTGCTGCTCCATTTGCCGTTGTATCTTTCCTAGCTGGCTGCCTGCCTCTCAAGGTGAGGGCTGTACAGTGGCTGGAGCATGAAACTGTAACAAAATAATCCTGACCATTAACCTAACCACCCTCCCCTGGGAGGCAAGTGACATGAAGGCAGGTGAACTGATGCGTCTTGTCAGCTTCCCTGTTGGGACCTCAATCGGTACCTGGCGCTCAACCATGAGAGGACTCCACACCCTCTGGACTCTCAGGTCCTGAGAATCCCTCAGCTGTCCCTCCCATGCCCTCTCAGGGTGCTCCCAGACGCCTGGCTCACCCGGTACTCCTCGGCCGCCCCCTCGGTGGAGCAGTGCCTGTGGGCCTTGTGTTCCTGGGACTGAGAGCAGTGCCTACAGAGCAGGCTCCTGTCCTCCTCACAGAAGACCTGCTTGGCCTCCTTGTGGGGCCCACACTTCTGATCCTCAGAGCTCAGGAACTGCCGGACACTGGCTTTTCTGGCGGTGGACACCAGATTCTTGAGAAGGAAGTTGGTGTTGTAGTGTGTCAGCTGGGATGGCTGCCCGCACAGAGGGCAAGTGGCAGGGACTTCAGCTGCCTCCCAGAACAGGCAGACACAGGGTCTACAGAAGCTGTGCCCACAGTCTAAGGTGACAGGGTCTGTCAGGTAATGCAGACAGAAGAGGCAGGTGACTTCTTTGTGGAAGGCTTGAGCGAGGTCTGAGTCCATGTTTCTGAGGGAAGAAAAGCAGGAGCTTATTCCTTGGCCCTGGAGACACCCAGGTTCTGGCTCAGCAATACACCCACTCTGGGGCAGAAGACGCTCCACTTTGCCAATGATGCCAGTGGCAAACTGAGACTGGATGTGACTCTCAAGAGCCAGACAATACTTTCTGGGCTGCCTCACCTACACTACCACTTCCTGCCCCCATTTGTCCTGCAGGGAAGAGAACCCCCATTTGGGGGAGGTCTCACTTTCCTCCAGATAATCAGAGCTTTGGAACTTTGAGCCAAGTCATAGCTCACGAATGCTCTGAAAATCTCTCAGGGTGCTTATGCCCAGTCATCCACTTAGCCCAGGAGAGTTGACTCCGGCTCTGTTTCCATCTCTGTAATTGTTAAGCAGGTTTCCTTGGATATCTTTTTTGATCACAGTCAGAAGCCATAACCTAAGACCTTTATTTTTCTTCCAAAACAGATTCTGAAAACATGAAAAGTTACTAAAAACAAACAAAACATTATCAGATGGGTGCGATTCTAACAAGAATCCATTTACACAAATATGCTAAGCTGTTAAAGTTGCCTTCCTGTTGTTACTGTCTAAATATACATTTTAATCACACAAACCAGAAATGAATGACAAAGGCTACATCTTACAACTCTTTAAAACTACAGTTAAGCCCCCCTATGCATGGTGATATTTAGAACTGGGATCAAGCACCCCTTCGCATCAGACAAGACGCCATTTGGATGGAATGGTAATCATCTGCACCGAAACCAAATCATGCTTGTTAAATTCATTCTGCTAAAGCTTCAGCTCTCGTGTCTGCACCAGTTAGATAAGGACATCCCTGAAATGTCTCACATTTCTGTATGGCACCATACTCACTTTGCTTTCTGCTCAATCGTTTCCCTGATTCTCTTAAATCAAAAAGCTCGTGTTTCTCAAGAGACAACACATCCTTCATTGGGAAACCTATTTTCCTCAAATCATGGAACACATTGCCTAGTTGTATATTATAGAATGTTACCTCTGGTGAATGCAGACATGCACCACATTTCAAGGGGACTACACTACGACTGTGTACAGAATCACATACTCTAATGTTCCTTAGGAGGTACACAATGTATCTGGCAGCTGCCTCCTGAGTCCTCATGTTACCTAAGAATAATCAAAGGCTGCATAAAATAAGTCAAGTAAATTTAATCATCCAATTACTTCTGAACCCCACACCCAAGACAGGCTGATGAAAAAGAAATGGAATCATTTTCCCATCGTTGGCAAAACATTGTTTCACAGAAACAGCCTCCCTTGACCGAAAGATGAAAATTAGGAAGCTCCCAGGAGCAACTCTGGAGAGAATGGTGCACCTACCTAAGGAGCAAATGGGTGGGCTGCCCAAGTGCTTGCCGGGAAGGAGCAGTGATACGAAGTCAGCTCAGGGATCAAGGTTTCCAACAGTCCTAGTGGGAATTTTGAGAAGTCTCTGTAGGCATGTGACTTCCCTGCGCACTCAGTGCGGGAGAGGCATGAGTCTGGCTCTTTGAATCTGCTTATATTGGGTCTCTGATGGCCACACCCACGTCTTCCACACGACTACGTTGCAGAGATCTTCAGAGGCGTGGCGGTATGGATGACTAGATTTCTGCAGCCAGAGGGAAAGGTGGATTGAGCACCATGGCTAATCTCCACAAACCCCAGAAGTGCCACCACATCAGAGCCATCATGCTCCCAACACACCAACCCTCAAATGCTGCCTTTACATCTATATTTCTGAAACTGAGGACTTTGATTTTTCACTTACCAAGAGGGAGAAAGGATTATTTCATCAGCTAGTACTGATTGCAGCCAATGTCTTTGAGGACTTGGAAATGTGTTTGCTGCTATTGGTTGAAATATGCTCCCTTTGGGAAAAAACGCTTTCTTTGATTGCTTGCCTGCTTGATTGACTTTTATCATTCAAGGTGAGACTGTAATGTAAGAACACTTTTGCCCACCACTGCAGAATGGAGGTTTCTCCTGTCCCTCACACTGCGGATCAAGTCCCCAAGGCCTCCCAGCCACAGTGGAACAGGAGATTCTCTGCCTGGTGCTCCCCCACCCAGCTCAGGGACCACTGGAGGGAAGAACACCAGCTTTGGTTTGAACAAATTTATAACTTGATTTGAAACAAGACAGAAATAACAAGAATACAGAAAAGAAAAAAAATTTTTTTAAAGGAATAACTCACGTTCCCGCTCTCTCAAAACTTAGTAATTAAATCTGGACACCTTCCTTTCCTATGTATTTTCCCCACAATCAGCTTGAAAAATGTAGAGTTTTAGAAAGAAGTGACAGTTAAGACCCATCTTGAAATCCTTCAAAATGCATGTGTGTATATATTTCTTGGGGCTGATGTTCCCATGTATTTACAATTAGGCTTTAAAAAATTGCTCTTGAGTTCCAAAAATGCAAGCCCTCAATCATGGGGTCCATTCTTGTAAAAGCAACCCTAAGGGGTTTGCTTTCCAATTTGTAATCAATTTCCCCAGCATCCTCCTTTCCTCTGTGAAGTATGGAAATGTAGGTTAACTAATAAACTCACATATCTTTTCAAATTATTCATAACATGTTTCTGAGAATGATGACATTCAAGTGAAATCACTGTTTGCCATCGCTTCTTTGTGGAAGGTGGCCAGCCCAGAGCCTAACCTGAGGAGCATGCCCCTCTAGGGAGGCTCAGGACTGCGCACTGGAACCCCCCAGAGGGAGCCCGAGGAGGGGCTTCCCCTGCAGGTCTCTGGGGCGTGGACAGCAGGCCGTTAGGGGAGTGTGTAGTTGGAAACCTGCCCCTCAGACAGCGGCTAGGAGAATGGCCTAGTTTAAACTCTATCTTTTAAAAGGAAAACAGACTTTTCTTCCATCTGCCAAATCCCTTCAAGTCATCAGTTGAGTTTGAGGAGTATTCAGAGAAGGTATGAGTCCCTGCAGAAAGGCTCTAGGTGCTACACTCCTAGTTTTGCTTAGCCCCCTGGGCAGCTCATCCAACCCTTGTGAATTTGTATGACATTTCATTTAAGTATTGTGAAAACAGGCCTCCTTGTTACCGTCTGGGTTTGTCATGCAGGACCACCCACAGAGTGAATGCCGGGGATGCACATTCTCTCTCTCAAAAACATGGTATTGTCTTAAACATTTCTGACTGCACTGGTAATACACTGCAAATTGGGCCCCTAAGTTCACTCACCGGGAACTGGACCAATGTCTGTGAATTCCTATTTCTAGTTTTACGTCATTCAGTACGTCTGGCACATTGTTATGTGAAAACATTTGTTTTAGAATATTTATAAATTCATTTGTAAAAAACAAAAAAGACATCATGTGCTAAATCTGTAATTACAAAATATTGTCACTAACACTGTCAAATAACATACAAGGTATTTTACTAAATGATACCTTGTTCTTCAGAACATTTAAGTTATTTCTCAGTCATTCATTAGCTATTTTAAATGCTTCAAAATACACTTGGGCTAGAGATTACATTGATGAGATAAAGGTGTTAACCTTCAAAATAAAGCAATCAGTCACCTTAGCAGCAAAAGCATTTTTATTTGGAAATAGCAGAGAACTGCAATTTGGGACATGCAAGCCAGAGCAAAGACATGCCAGCTATAGCAATGCTATAGGCATGTGCAGAGAATAAACCAGAGAAATACTTTTTGATAGAGGAAAATGTCCTCATCAGGAGGGCTGTTCTAAGGGAAAAAAATCCACTGGACTAAACTGGAAGTCCTTTGTATTATGGAATCTTATTGGCTAAGTTGTGACAGCCTGTCATTGTCTAGACTGTTTATGGGAGGC